TTTATTATTTATCCCATTTGATTGTTTGGTGAAGGGATACCTCAATGAAACAGCGACCAAGCAGGTTAGATGCAGCTCCACTAATTTTAAACCTACTTAATCTAATCTCATCCTGTCCAGTGGCTTGGCACCATGAAGCAACTTTTTCGACACTGTATCCACTGGAATGTGTGCAATGTATCCTGCAATTATTTAAAATATAATAATGAAAATAATTTCCTGATTAAACAGACCAATTCATTTATAATATATGAATTGACATACGTAGTGCCTGGGGTGGCCAAATTTATCCCCTTCAATAGAAGAGATGTCTCTTGACCGGCTACAACTGCCACAGGGGACACAGAGATCAACTCTGGAGTAGTCCAGGCTTTCCAGGATTTACAAAGACGAGTCTTTCCTGAAGAATTTAACGTGCACAAGAACATAAGTTGGTGGAGCAGAATAAAGAATTCAAAATGCCCACCCAAATAAGTACAACAATCTGCAAATCTGCAAACCATACCATCTTTATGGGAAGCCATTTTTCTTTTTGTGTAAACCAAAAATCTTCCATTTCCCCAAAAACCAACATCAGCATTTTTTACCAAAGATTCCACATAATTAAGAAAGTTTTCTTCAAGCTGCAAAAACAGTTCAGCCAAAAAAAAAAGATGGTCAACCAAAAGCCATTTAACCCAATGAGCATTGACTACAGTATAAAAATGCACACACTTGATTCCAGGTAAAAGATGACATTGACAAGTACAAGGATAGAACTATGCAACCGGGCCTGATGTAGCTTTCCATTTCTGATGGGCTGGTAGAAAGCCAACTGTATATCTGAAATTCAACGCAACATTCGCCATCAGGTTTCAGACATGGGGGAAATGAATACAATAAAATAAAATCGAGAAGATCAAATATGGTAAATAAAACAAAACTAACCTGATTACGTAGCGACCCAGGCAACTGACTCGGCTCCTTGTCAAACAATTTGAAAATTATCCGACAAGTACGATCCTATGAGAAACAGCATGTCAAATTCTCTCAATATATTGATCCAAAAACCAGGATACAAAATATACAAAGGCGTGACAAAAAATGAAAAGCATTTAAGCTAAATTGAATATGTGATGATTGCTTAAACTAAGCTAAATTGAATATGTGATGATTGCTTAAACTACCGCTAAGATTTAAAAAATTTACAAAAGAAATATAAGGGAACTTTGAAATTAAAAGAAAAATAAAACCCATACATGAAATTTGACTACCCTGTACTTTGCCCCATAACTGGACTTGCTGATATCATCTTTAGAATATTGGATGACATCAGCAATTTCCACAGATTCCATATAGGCTGGTGCGAAATTAGGGCTGCAAACGAACCGAGCGCTAGAGTCAAAGCTCGACTCGAGCTCGAGTTTGACCGAACTCGAGTCGAGCTGGAGCAGCTCGAGCACGAACTCGAGTCGAGGTCGAGCCCATAATTTGCATTGTCAAGCGGCTCGTCGAGCGTCTTGAGATATTTGTTGAATTACTAAAATACCCCTTATAGGTGTTTAATGGTAATTTTATTTTTCCACTTAAAAATTTTCGAGCCGAACTCAAGTTGAGCTCGAGCATTTTGATTTCGAGTCGAGCTCAAGCCGAGCTCTAGCATCATAAATCGAGCTCGACTAGCTCGAGCAGCTAAAAAAAAATATCCAGCTCGATAAGGCCAATGCTCGACTCGGCTTGTCTCGTTTGCAGCCCCATGCGAAATGCTAAGATGGATGTAGCCCTCAAGGGACATTGTTGCAATTCTTAAACTTACAGTGGATATTTTGTAATTTTACCAAACATTGGTAGTCTTGAGAGTTACACCAAAAATCAATAAAAATAGTGGTGAAGAAGTACCTGAGAATCATAATTCAGGCTAGACGGAGAATGGTCAGATCCCGTAGACGATGTGTAACCAACTCCGCATGGAGAACTTTGAAGCGAACCATTCTCATTAACTTGGATTAAGCCTCCTCCAAAGAGCTGAAGAGACGTACTACACCCGTTGCTTGTTCTTGATTTCACACATGCAAGCTCATCGTCACTGTTTGACAAACGCGCATTAACTGTTTCTCTCGAAGGCTGCATGGGGAACAGATTATGCATGAGTGGAGGTGAAGAAGACACACGCGACCTCTCTTCAGAAGGATTACTGCTGTTGGACGAGAGGTAATTTCCACCCGATGGCAATTTACTTGAGCTATTATCCTCAGGTGAGGAACTAAACAGCTGTAACTGTAGGCCAGGAGATGTGTCTCTAACATTGTGACCGTCTATTTCGTCTGTTGGAGAATCGAGATGCATAATTCTCTCTCCTCTGGACAGGTTTACTGGGTCAACAAAAGCTGACCTGCTTTTCTCAGAGTCACTATCCTCAGAGCTCGGTTGAGATTGAGCTTCTGACGAAAGAGCAGCTAGCAAATCCATGGTTGATGGACGAGAAGCATCCCCAGTTGTTTGGTTCTGATTTTTAGGGCTTGTGTGATTAGGGACACTTGAACTTGTGTTTTTGGGGAGGGGCAGCTTGGATGCTATGTTTGCGGGTAAGGGCAGAGAGTTTATTTTGCTGAGAATTTGAAGCAAGTGTTCTTTTTCAGGTGCTGATGAGGATTTACCACTATTGTCCCCAGTGTTTCCTACGATTACAATATTAAATTTAGCAGAACTAACACGTGGTATGAAAAGTCTTGCATATTCTGATAATAATTGAATTATACTTTCATGGCCAACGCAAGGGGCAGAACCAATTTACGCTGGAAAAATGTTTTGCTATTTCATATAGGCATTAATTGCTGAAGCTAAAACATTATATTACTAGCTGACTTTATACCTTGTGCATGAGCTAGCACTGTCAATAAATTGAAGACATTCACATCACAGTTGCTATTTCTTTGTGGACTACTAGGAACTAACACCCGTGGAGTAGTCTCTTCAGCCTGAGTTTTTCTCCTCCTCCTATTATGCCCAGCTAGCCTACGCCTACAGCTTCTCTTTCCCTCATCAAATTCCGAAAGCGGGTGAAACCTGATAAGATGGAATGATACTTATGTAACTCGATTGGCTCGACATGTGCATAACCAAAGAAATTCGGATTTTGTTACGACAAAATCCTATAAAGCAACTAGCTGTACATAAGATTAAAAAAGAAAAAAGTGTCTAAAACATAAGAAGCTTTTTAACAAAATTAATAAACTCGTCTTCTACAGGAACTTATTTGTTGTAAAAGAAGTACAAGGTGGTCGAAAATCAGAAGTTAAAAGCTGAACGACTCAAAAGTCAAAAGTGTGTTTCTTCATTAAGTAATAAAAGAGCTTTTTTTGTTTCTGGAGACACGAAAAAGCTACTCTTTCTTTTTTTCTTTCTTTTTTCCACTAAGAGTTGACAAATCTAGTAAAGGTGTTTCATTTACGACACCAACCTGCTGCACTGCTGACAAAACCTCTGCATGTGCTTCCCAACCAAAGCCTTACTAGCTTTGCTGTGAACCTCGCATACCTTATGCCGCCTGTGATAGTCCTTTGCAGTGGAAAGGTCTTCCTCACAGTCGTCCACCTGGCACATTGGATGGTTAATGCTGCCGGGCGATCCGGACCTCACTCTCTTGTTCGGCCTCGAAACCTGCTGCTGTGGTTCTTCCGCTAAAAGCCGCAAATTTTCAGCATCTTTTCCTGTATGGCCAGGCCTCATGTGATTTCCCACTTGGGATTCATCAGTTTGCACAGGTTTAGCAGCAAACCTTGCACTGTCCCAATCCCATGACTTTGGATTCCAGTTATCCGGAGAAGGGTTCTGAGGAGAAATGCTCTGGGAATGAAAATTGAAACCACGTTTCTTGACCATTGGATGAGTTGGGTTGAAAAATCTTTGCTGAAGTGTTTGGTGGATGGCTACAGGAGATGCCACCTGGGTACCTACCTCTTCCATCTCAACAGGAATAAAAAAATATTTTTTGAAGGTCCTGAAAACTGAAAAACACCTTCATTGATGAAAATGAGATTCCCAAGCAATTCAAAACGTAAATTGTATTTCTCAACTCACTTTCTGCACTTAAAATAATCCCAAAGAACAAGAAAGACCAAAAAACGAAAGCAAGAACTTAAAACTAAATAAAAAGTAGAAAGAGAAATACTTTTTTAGAAGCAAATTTTTTAATTACAGCTTATTTATAACACCAGTAGGTGGGGGGTTTGGATTTCAAGATCCATTTATTTCCCCATTTACTCTGAAAGTGATGCTAAAAGATGGCAATGGAAATGATGGATGACAAAATTAACTGGATGAAACACTTCATCTCCATTACTATGTATTTGTATTTCCCTCTCATATATCCAATCTCATTTAACAAGTTACAGAAGAGAGATAACATGTACAACTGGGGGATGGGAAATAAACTGAATAGCATTGAACTTGACCGTACTCAATCTTGTCCTATCTAACTTTTCAATTTTCCCCTCCCACAAAATATAACTGCTAATACACACATCAAAATTTAGGAGCCTTTTATAGGCTATTCGCAAAGTATTAATTCTTAAATACAACAGGCATCCCATGTTCAATGAATTTTAAGAAAAGAAGAACACAACGGTAACAAGCGAAGCAGGAGTCTAATAAAAATATTATTCGTGACAATTACAATCCACTATTTTGGACTTGAGCAAATTTTTTGGTCTCGTTGGGGTGGAGAATTCTTACCGATTTTCCCAACCACACATCTGTAGAGAATTTTTACCATGTTTTACATGGTTGACGATTTATAAAAGCAATTCCAAGAATTCTGCCTAATCATATTCCAGTAAAATTACACTCACTCATCCCCAATTCTAGCTCAGGTAGCATCAAAACTCAAAACGAAAACTATTAAGTACACCCTTTAAAGCTTTCATCTTTCTATACCTTTAACATATCCTCGTCATAGTTAGTTCTGTATTTCATAATTAAGGATATAGCGAACAAATCTCAGCTCGAGAGGGCTAATGACTACAAAATCATCAGGTCAACACATAATGAATTACCAAAAAAAGTAAAACAGGAAATATTGAAAAAAAGGAGAAAAAACCCCCGAAGAAATGAAAGAGGGCACCTTTTGGGGTCAATAGAATTCATCTGGAACGCGATTGATTTTGGCGTTTCTCATCTTCACAAGTCGATTAAACAAAAATCGAGCTTCAATTTAATTTTTCCCCAAATTCTCCAACGAAAAGTCTTCGTCTTCTTGGCAGCTGTGCAGAGATAATCAATACAATCTTCAGTTAGAGGGGTTTTAAGTTGATTTCTGGTGGGTTTCTGATGGTGAAATGTGAAAGGACTGAGTGAATCTGGAAAACGGAAGAGTATGATGGGATGATGGATCTGTGGTGCGCCAAAACATTACAAACAGTTAATTAAGAAATTGGGATAGGAATTGAAATGAAAATGTTAAATTGCACAACTCTCTTACTTTTCTCAGTGTACTTTCCTTCACCAAACTAAATATTTATTTTTTCTGTTCACACGTTCCGAAAGAATTTACCAAAAAGAAATGTTAGAGGTTGATTGAACATAAGGATGTACATAACACTCAGTAAGTGAGACTGACAAAAATAAAAAATCAAGTAGAGCTCACTCCATGTGAGTGTTATGTCCACCTCTATGTAAATTTATCATGTACTTGTAGCATTTTTCTTTACCAAAACCTTTTCGGTAGGTCCTACCAGAATTTTGATGGGTAGACTGTACACAGGTACAATATATTACTTTAAAAAAAACAATAATAATAATATACTAATAAATGCTTACCTAAATACAATAGTTTTGACCTAGGATTTTTTCTCTCTCTTGAGATTTTTAATTCCTGATTAGGATCTATTCTTCTTGATTCTTCTTGGGTGTTCTTTCGCTCGGCTTCTAGGTTTCCGTTCTTGTTGTTGGTGTGTTCTTTGCGGTGCCTTTGTCTTTTAGGGTGGGTCGCAGCTTGTCTTTGCTCCCGTTTTGGGTCTTTAGGTCGTTAGGGTAGGGTTGTGGTCTGCTCGTTCTGGTTCCTCCCGGAGCCTTTCTTGCTTGTCTCGTGTGCCTGGTTGTGTGCCTTGCCTTGAGTTTTATTCTTATTGTTGTTGTTTTGATGTTTCCTTTGTTATTGATTGTGGGTGCTTGTTCATTGTGCTTTTTTAATATTGGTGTGCTTTTTGCCTTTGTTTGCTTTAGGGCTTGGTCCTGGTGTTGTTTGTTGCTAGGGTTTTGTAACGCCCACTTTGATTTTAAAGAAATTCCGAACTTTCAGAAAAATCAGATTAAATTTTTTCAAAATTTATTTCAAACATACTTTTGGCGTTACTCATTTTTAACATCAAACATCAACATAATTTTCAACTCCCAAAACGGGTTTCCAAAAAGTTCATCAATCACCTAAACCGGGTTCCAATAATAATCATAGTATCTAAGGAGCATCTCCTTAACATTATTTCAATCATAGTATCCGAAATCATAAATGCATAAATATCCCAAGTTCATAAATCATATAATCAGTTCATAACGCGGAATCATAACAAATAATAAAACCGGTCTCATGGACCGACCACCACTCGCTCTACTCCGCCGTCGTACCCGCCTTGCTTAACCTGAAACGTTAATTTTAGGTGGGAGTGAGCACAATTGGAATTCGTAGTGCTCACCACTATGCAGTAAACATTTATCAATATATAAAAATAGTAATCATAAATAAGTTAGGTATGGTCGCAGCATGTATACAAATCAATTAATTATCCATCTCATATCCCAGAGTCAACCCTCATGTGCACACCTACGCATAGACTACTGCTGATACTCGATTCGAATGCCAAAACCTACGCCTTGATCTTACAACGATGCCTAGCCAATAGGAGTAATCCACCCCGCCGGCCAAGACCTATGAATTGGTCTTACAAACGGGGATCACCAGCCGAGGGCCCATGCCCCGGTCTTACGGCCATACATAAATAAAGGAGACTACCCATCGGGTACGTTCTATAGCTACGGGGATAACCGTTCGACGGCCGGTATAGCTCACATCGAAGGCTGCATGGTTCACATGCATACATTGATCATGCCACACGTAAGACAACAATTTACTGCATAGCAATTTTAAATAAAACCCACCTGGTAACAGCAGGAGATAAAGCACAACAATTGATTGGAAGGCGAGCTCGACTCGTCAAACACCTACATTTATTAAAATAATCCTATGAATAACTATTCCACACATGGGTTCACTCATTTCAACATTCATGTGATCAGACTCGACTCATAAAGTTCATATAAGCAAGCAATGAAAGACAAATTTGATTTTTTGAAAACTACACATAAATTTTGAAAACATAACCCGCAGCGATTTTGAAATCGACACATTTACAGCACATAATTCATATTGACACAAATTCAGTTGCATATGAATCCTAAGACATTCCTCTACAATTCTCATGAAGAAATCAGAAGCAAATAATGGCATTTTGAAGGTCTTAAATCATCAAACATATGAAACAGGGATGCTGTGAAAATATGGAAACATATAGTGGACAGAACCTCAGTATATTAAATATAAATGGGGTTACAGACATGCTATTGAGGAAATTCAAAAACAAAAATGTAGCTAACTCAAATATAAACAACTTTGCGGAAGACCACGTTGGCAAATAAGGGCATTATAAACAGTTTTAAACACAAAACATTTAGGTCATAAAATCTGTTAGAATTTGATTCGGCTTACAAACAACACTTCAGTATTTATAGTCTAAATCATGCTATAGACCTCCAATTGACCAGATTTAAAAACCTATGGACAACCAAGAGATATAGCAACAATTGTCATAAAGACCACTTTCACATTTGAGCATGTTAGAACATCAATTGTAGACCAAACTTCGATATCATATACACAGTCGATTTTTCAGAAAAACTGCTTGCACAACGTTATTATAAACATCACACCTCATGCTACACTTATCATATTAACATGCTTCTTACCTTGTTAGAAACCTACGAGACAGTTCTACAACCTTTATCTAGAGCGCGTTTGTTGCGGTAGACTGGACAAGATTGGGGTAGTTATCTACCCCTTGTCGCACGTTTGTTTACCCAGACTGTGGCCCGAGAGATTAAATGCGGCCCGCGATTTTTTTGGGACAAATCGTGGT